ATATTTCTTCAGTATTTGAAAAATACTGTGCTACTTCCTTTTAGCCTCTATGGTTCCAGATTTGAATTCCGCTGTCATTCAAATTGATGTTCTCCTGCAGGCAATGCTTCGTCTCTGTCTGGCCGCTTTCAAGACCTTTTCTTTGTCTTTAGTTTTTTATAATTTATTTTATTTTTTATCGTTGTCTTTAGTTTTTCAAAGTTTAATTATCATGTGTCTTTGTGCGGAGTTGTTTGGGTTTATCCTTTATGGGGTTTACTTAACTTCTTGGATCTGTAAGTTTGTTTCATTTGTTAAATTTGGGAAGTTTTCAGCCATTATTTCACCAAATAGGTTTTTAGCCCATTCTCTTTTTCAGCTTTCTGGAACTCCAGTGATATCAACATTGGATCTTTTGTTGTTGCCCCGCAAGTTCCGAGATCTTAGTTCATTTTGTTTTTAGTCTGTTTTTTCTTTGTTGTTCAGAATGAGTGAATTCTATTTTTCTGTCCTCAAGTTCAATGATTCTTTATCATCTCCAATCTTTTATTGAGCCCATTTAGCAAATTTTTTAAATTTTATTTCTGTTATTGTATTTTTCAGTTCTATAATTTCCTTTTGCTTCTTTTTTTATAACTGCTGTTTCTTTGCTGAGGTTTTCCATTTTTTAATTTGATCCAAGAGAATTTGTAATTGATTGTTGAAACATTTTCTGTGATAACCAAAAAACCTCATTGCTGTCGAGTTGATTCCGACTCGTGACCCTTGATATATAGCTGCTTTAAAATCCTTGTCAAATAATTGTAACATCTTCATCATGTCTGTGTTGGCCTCAGTTAACAGTCTTTTCTATCCGTGGTGTGATTTTCTTGGACGATTTTCTATTGTATTGTGGATATTTTGTTTATTATGTTAGCAGACTTTGAGTCCTACTTAAATCTTTTAATTTTAGCAGGCAATCACTCTGTTTTGGTTTAGTAGTAAATCGTGGCCCATTTTGTCAGCTGTGATTCCAGTGGCGGTTTGATTTTCAGAGCCTTTGCAGTATTACTTTCATCTACTTGATTTATCTGATGCTACTGGTGCTGCTGGGTTTCCCCAGGCTGGGCCTTCAGGTGTCTTGGAACTCCTGCTGGTCCCCTACCTCCAAAGCCCTGCTACCAGCTGGTCTGAGGTAGACATTCTTGGCTTTTGGGAATTAAGAGAGTTTCCAAATTGAGATGTTTACTGTGGCCAGGCT